AAATTGAGTGAATCTTGATTCGTCTGAGAACTATACAGTCTTCCAAAAGTCCAGAGGCTTGGTCATCATATCACATGCCCACTTCTTTCGTCTGACTATGTTGGCAGGTCTTAATAAGGGCTTCTGTCTAGCTGCTCTACAACGATAACCCAATCTGTGGAGAATCTGTTGAACAGATTTCGGGCTCATCCCACCAACTTTGGCCACTTCTGTAGTCGTTAATCTGGGATCCATTTCGATGCTCCTCTTGACAGCCCTTTTTGTCCTCTCCGATGGACCAAGACACTGCTCAGTTGTTTCCTTGCCGTGTTTCCTGAAATGCACGATGATTCTGTTGACTGTCGAAAGCGGGATTCCCAAATTCTGTGAAATTTGCCGCTGACTTATTCCACCATCTGCTTGACCAACTATCCTTCCTCTAACCAAATCTGACAATTCAAGAGAACCATGAGTTCTAGGCATGTTGTAGCACAAGATAATTAGTGTGCAGATCATTTTCATTTATATAGTGCTCTGTGAACACAAATTAGTTAGCATAAATCAGTTAAATGACGAAAAATTAGGCGTCTAGTTACTTGTGGCCACTCAGTGTATATGCAGTGCTATCACCTGCCTGACATATAGTAAAAGAAAAAAGTTTTCCCAACGAGACCTCAGATTTATTAAGTCCTAATATTTATGTCCCCTGGTGGATCAGCGGCAAGTTTACAGACTTCCTTTGCTAAAATCCGGTATCTGATTCACAACAGGAGGCAGAATGCAGGGTCCATTGTGTAGCTTTGCACTAAAAAAACAACATTAATGAAGTCTGAGGGCATGCAATGCTAAAACTTGGGTTTCGTTGCCCGCGATGTGCAAAATACAGATAGTCCATTACGTATAGTGCGCTTTACAAAAAAAAACAACAACAAAAAATGTGAAATTTGAGTCTTCGTGTTGAATAATACGTACATAACAATCTGTTAGCTGATTAAAAAATGAAATGATTAAGATCTAGCTTTTCTTTTAAAATTGAGCTTTGTATATATTTTAGTGTACAGGTTGAAATAAGAAGTGCGTCTAATTAAAAAAAAACAATACTCGATAAAAATTATCTGGGATTAGACTTGTTTTTTCTAAGTTTGATGTTGCGTGTAGAAAAATACGTTATTTTTTATCAAAATCGCAGAATATGATTTATTCAGAAAAAATCTTTCTCTTCAAATTTGCATATTTCTTTTAAAACCGAACATATTAAGAAAGTTGTTGTATAAAACGACTTATCTTCTTTCGAATAAAATAATCTGTGTTTGGCGCGTCAGAATACCCATTATTTTAACAAAAATCCAGTGCAATGAGATGACAATTTGACACTCATTATATGTTCATTCAACGGCATAGGAAATAGACGGTAGATGGCGCTATAAAAGGAAAAAATCTCCTGCGAAAGAAGATTTTTTTTGAAAATTCACAAAGCCATATTAATATTAATGTGTGGAAGGGGGGGGGTCTAATAAATAAAATATAAGCACTTTGAAAATATATAAAAATGTATATAGGACAAACGTGTTTATAGATCAATAATGGCTGAAGACGGCATGAATGGGTAATGAAGCCGTCTTCAGCCATTATTAGTCTCAAAGTGGGTTCCTCGTCGCCGAATGTGTTTATAGATCCGCTGGATTTCCCCCTATTCATTTGACTTAATCCATTAGATACAAAACGAATCCACTAGATATCATAGGAAATCGGTTCGATTCAGTGGAAAACCACTAAATTGGCAATTAGACCGCCATGAAAATAGTGTTGTGATATTCTTTTCTTCGTTTAAAGTGACTGTCACAAGAAAGGCAAGTTTAAAGCTTTTTGCCATCTTTGTTCTTTAGCACAAATTTGCGCAATGGTTTATATATATATATACACACACACACTGTGCTCACAACATGAATCGAACTCTGAATTTTAGCGTTGTAAGTCCTCATTCTTACCACTGAGTCATGGGGAAAGGGACGAGTTTAAAAGGAATCGAAATATGAGTTAGAAAAACAATCACCAAGTTTCAGATAAATATTTAATACGCCTAAAGCAGATCATTTTGTCTGGACGTAGAAAATAATAATAATACTAAAGTCGTTAATTTCTTACAAGAGAGACGTCAAATTTTAAATCTTAAGTTCTACAAAACCAACTGACAGATGGGTCGGTTTAAGTTTCGGAAACAGTAACATAGAATCTATGACTTACACTTTTCGATTTTTTTTAATATTACAAGCAGGATAAATTAGATGTACACTTAAACTTCAAAGAAGCATCATCAATACCAAAGTAAATTTGTTCGATAAAGAAAACTGAAATGACAAAGTAGATACGATGGAATGAAAAAAGCACGGTTTAGTCCCTTAGATGTTCTTGAAAATAATGGCGCTTTGATAGGATTTTCAGATTTAAACTGTCTGTCAAAGGAAAGTTTAGTCCCCAGGTAAGTCAGAAGTAAGTTTATGGATACAACGCTACATTCCAGGGTTCGATTTTTCAGGATGGTCAGACCGCAGATGGTCAAATATGAGGCTTTGCGCTAAAACAAAGCGGAAGAAAGATGAGTTTGAAGAGCGTCAACATTTAAAAAAAAGCTTAAATACACCTTTCTATTTTTTTAAATGACTAAATATTCGATACATCTTAATCACATTGTCTGGCGGAAATAAATTGGTAATCTTAAAGACGTAAATTTTGTTACGAAAGCGAAATCAAATCTTAAACCTTTGCATTTTCCTTCAGTTCATGCATTTTAAGATATATAGTCAAAGTAAGTTGATTAGTTATTGATGAAATGCAAATTTAATGTTGATTTTTTTACAAGGAATACCACAAATCTTACACTTTTGGATCGTTTTTCATAAAAAGAATTTTTAAATAGCTCAAAACTGAGAGAAAAAACGAGAAGAAAGCAAATTTCACGTCGAACAGTTTTATATATACATAACATTAAGACTTAATCGTTCGAAGTTCGCTTGAGATAATCTGTTTTTAACTCTGTGCACGACAGAATACAATGTACATGCATGGGAGAATAAAGATAAAACAGGGCACAAGTTTTCTTACGAAAAATAAGTATTAGTTCTTTATGTTTTTTCATCATACTAATTGGAACCAAGTGCAACTCAGTTGTTAGTGCGCAAGACTGGGGTTGAAACTCAGTTACTTTAAAATAAATCGCGTTGTTTGTAAGAACATTATAAGAGTGACGATTAAATCCCATTATTCTATTACAGTAGCCCACGAGTTGGTGGGGGTTGGCTAGCTGCCTTCCCTCAAGTGAATCTCATCAAAATTAAGGGCTGCCAGCGCAAACACTCCTCAAGTAGCTTTGTGCACAATTTCACAAGCACCACCACCATATAATTGAATTTTCAATAAGTTGTACTCAAGTTTGTTTGTTTTTTATGGTAAAAAAAGATGCAACTTTAAGAAAGTCATAACTGTATTAAAATTTTAACAAAATTGTATGAATAAGGATACATTTTTATACTACGTTACAGGGCGGTTTAGTTTATGATACGCAGATGCACATAGTTTCTTTAAATTGGCTTAACCGTTGGTTAGAATATTTTGGGTGGGAATTTTCATATAAAGCTACAGAAGGACTATTTTTGGCATAGCTCTCTTTTACTTTGAACTGATACACTAGAGGCAAGGCAACTAGTCAACAGCAACCAATACCAATTCTCAGCTACTCTTGTCTGACTGAATAGTGGAACTTGACCATTATTCTTACAACACACTCATGGTCTCAAAGTGTGGAGCTAGATTTTAAGACAGATCCCCAGTCTGGGCACAGTAAACGCTATGCCAAAGACAGCTCAGAAGAAGATCAAATTGAACAAAAAGAAGACCTAACTTTTTTGAGAAAATAAGGAAAATAATTTTTCTACATTATATCATGCTTCATAACACACCTAAACAAAGTTTAAAGAAGATGAAAATTTTGATGTATTATAACCTGATTAATATATATGGCACAGGAAAAAATATAAAAGCAGTGCTCATTTTTCTTTGAAACAATATAATTAGGTAAATTTCTGTAGATACAGTTTAATCAAGTCTGAAAGATAGGTTTCCATGACATAATCTAACATAACTTTAAGGAACAGTTTCCTTTAGCAATAACAACAATATAAGTAATACATTTCAGGACAAATATTATGTTCGTTTATGGCTGGTATCAGTTACCTGAACTAGTAGTTTGTTTTTCATGCTTACTTACTATATGTGTGTTATATGTTGTACTGCAATACAAACAATAAAAAGTTAAAAGTGCATTTTTGGTTTGTAAATATAATTCACTAAATATCACCAGGTTTAAAAGTTGAAAACAAAAACTTGATCCTTTGTAAGAATGTAAAAAACACAGAAGTCTCCAAAATTAATAATGTTTATTTTCTAAGTTAAAGCAGACTCAGTTTTCCATTATAAACTGTGTTTAAAACACATTAAAACATTTTCTAAAGCAAAATTAATTGAGTAGCATTTATTACCAACAACATATGTCTTAATACCACTTTTATTCATACTACTTAACATATGGCCCCTAAAGAAGTTTTATCATTTTTTAATACAACATATTCCTCAAAAACTATACTCAGTTATACTACAGATTACCAAACTTCATAATACATAAATACCAATTTATAAACACTCTTTAAACACATAACAACTTTATTATTTTATACTTCTTCATAATTTTTCCATACAAAAAATTAAACAAGATGAAAATAAAATACTGCCAGTCATAAATGATTCACTTCAAACTTCTGGTCACCTCTTAAAAGTTATAATTGTTAATATTCTAAAACCTCACATAAAGTTTACCTAATAATGTATGAGTAACACAAAATATAGAGCATCTGAAATAAAGCTTGGATACTTTGTTTTTAACAGGTATTTCGGTATAGGGCGTATTTTGAAAGCTATCCTAATTCAAGTTAATACAAAATAAGAAGATTTTATTTAAGACTGAAAGATTAATTTCATGGCAGTATGTTGTATGTCATCACAAGAGACTGTACAGTACAAAGAACGGAACAGTTACTGGCAACTGTACAATAGATATACATATTAAAGACATTTTTTTAAGTCATAGTTTTCGAATAATTTTCTGTACACATTTACTATAACTTTACAATTGCTATTAAAATCATACAGGTTTTCTTCTACTATCAGTTGACACAAGGGGTCAAAAAAACAAATATGTTTGTTTATCACAGCCAACTTAATGAGCAACTATCTCAGATAACTGGATGTATTGATTGTGATGGGTGTTGAGAAAGTTTGTTGCGTGGCTGAAGCTGTACACATAAACCAATCTAATCCAGACCTCCAATGTTACAAGTCAGAATGACATAAACACAGAAATCAAAGCGACTAGACTACTGACAGAATTCCTACTTTGTTGGTATTCAAACTGGAAGGACCTGAAGCAGAAAAGAAAAGCCAACTGATCAGTTTTTGACTGAAACACAGATTTCTGTGAATGCTACAAGTTAAGTGAATTCATCCCTGGTTTAAACAGTGATGTATTTTATAATAATCAGCAGTTGACTATTTTTCAAGAAAAAATATTATAATAAACATAAATTATATCACAAATAACAAACATATTATACTATTATTGCACATACACTGAGTGGTCACAAGTAAATAGACACCACCTTTTCAAAAAAAAATGAAAATTTTCAGTCATATT